AACTCCAATCGGCTGCGGTACAAATCGAGTTTCATCTGTCCTCATCTGGTGAGATCGACCAACGAATCTCTTCTTCATGCACTTTCATACGAAACGAAGGTCGTCGTAACTATGTAAAAGAGATTTTATACAGCAATGGTGGGGGCGGGCGAGTGTGGCGCAAAACGGGGGTGCGCGATGCCGAGAGTCTGTAGCCTCAGGGTAGGCATGGCCCTGAAAAAGTCTGGAGTTCCTACTGCTTAAGCACTTGCTTGCTTTGAATGTCTTCTGATTGGTCCGAAAGGTCGCGATCTGATAAATCCGCAGGTACACTCGGTAAAGTCGTGAGATTTGATAGGCCGGTGCGAAAACAGACTATGAATATTCACAAATGATCTTTGCTTAAAGTGAGGGCTTCGATATTGCCGAGTCTGTGATGCAAAGAAACTATGAGTTGTGGTGAAAGAACGCAGAGATAGGTCACACCTTATTTCATCTATCCATATTTTGCTGTACCTTTTTGTTCAGCTACATCCTTATTCATGACGTAGAGAACCCTCGGCTCAGTGGCCTTTGGCCCGGCCTCATGGAAGCCTACCACAGACCGGACCCTTCCGTGCGCTGGTCTGTTGACGCAGCCGCAGCTTCAGGTAATGGCCTGATTCAGCCGCCAGACTTGGTTGTGATCGGTGGCCTCCAAACTATGGACCACTGGGCCGGCATCAATGGATACGGTGAGTTGATTCGTTGTGGCAGATTTTGTCATATTTACCTTTTTATGGACACACTGTGTTATTCTTCTGCATTCGGTCTATTCCTGACTTGGTTGGTGGCAGGCTCAAACATTTACAGAAGTTATTGCTATAAAGACAAGGATGAGGTAGACCTTTGGCTGGATGCTGCCACGACATGGAAAGGTTTTTCAGTTTAAGCATCATCTTCGTGAAGGAAATCGCTGTGCAATTGTTGGTTTATTTCTGTTTGCCCGTCATACTATGTGAATAAACGCTTCTTACGAGTAATGGTTACCAGTAGTAATCGCTTCTTGACCATGGTCACCCATAAAAAAATGTTTTTCGATTTCACAAAACGACCTTCTGCTATTTGCTTCTTACTGCGAAAAATAATTCTCGTTGAAATGTCTAACGATGTGCTTTTAGGCCTCATATTGTCTTTTATTTCGGTTTATAAATGGATAATTCCTATCATTTACTTATCTATTACAAAAAAAATTATTATGGGCCAATCTTTGATGGCTCCCTCACCCACCGATCTCAATGATAATCCAAAGGAAGCAAAATTGTCATGATATTCTGCCTCACTTACACTCGGCGGATAACTTGGTGAATATTAGGAGAGAACCTGTAAAGTTTTCAAATATCTTCTTCCTTTAACCATAAACTTCCTTCTTAGACCAATCCTTTAGGTTCATGCGTCACATTAATCTGCATTTAATGTTATGTCTCACAGGCATTAAGCGGAATGGCTTGTGGATACACAGCAGCAAGCTTAGCGATTTTTCTTCGTAAAGTAAAGTAGCTTGAATTATTTACAGAAAATGTTGCTCCCTTTCTTCAAATGGCCACTTCACATGCGAATTAGATAAAGTATTAATGATACAATCCTGTACCGATATTCAGAATTA